CCTCCCCGCGCCCACCTCCTCAGGCTGATCTGTCCAAATGCGGGGTGCTATATCAACTTACTTATCCCAAAGGCTTCGCCCGTGGTCCAAGGCTGGGGGTCGACCTAAACTTGAGGTTCCGAGAGGTTTCCAGGCTTGCCCGTCTGACAGGCCTTGAGTCGGAGTGAGGCTTGCGGGTCCGAGAGGTTTCAAGGCTTGGGAGGTCTGAGTGGCCTGGGGCCGAGCAAGACTTCGAGGGCCTGAGGGGCTCAGGGTCGAGCAGAGCCCGCGGGCCTGGGAGACCGCGGGGGACCCGGGCCAGGATTGGGCAGTAGCCCGAGAAAGCCCGGAGGCGAGCGAGGCCTGCAGGTCGGAGACGTCTCGGGTCGAGCAGAGCCTCGGGCTCCGAGCAGCTCTGGGCTCCGCGAGGCTCGGGGTCAAGCAGGGCCTCCGGGCCCGAGAGACTGGAGGCCGAGCAAGGCTTGAGGGTCTGAGGAGCCTCGGGCCAAGGCGCTGATTGGGGGCCTGACAGGTACGGGGTCGGGCCAAGGCGCTGATTGGGGGCCTGACAGGTACGGGGTCGGGCGAGGCATCGGGGGCCTGGGAGGCTTCGGGTCGACCGAGGCCTCGGGCCAGGCAAGGCTTGGCTGGGGGTCTGACGGGCCTCGGGCCGAGAAAGGCTTAGGGGTCTGACAGGCCTCGGGTTTGAGCACGGCTTGGGGGTCCGAGAGGAGGAGGAGGAGGAGGAGGAGGAGGAGGAGGAGGAGAAGGAGGAGGAGGAGGAGGAGGAGGAGAAGGAGGGAGGAGGAGGAGGAGGAGAGGAGGAGGAGGAGGAGGAGGAGAAGGAGGAGGAGGAGGAGGAAGAGGAGCAGGCTCAGGGCAAAGCCGGGCTTGAGGCTCTGAAAGGCTTGGGGTCGAGCAGAGAACGGGGGCTCCGAGAGGCTCGGAGGTCCGGGAGGCCCTTGGGGCCCCGAGATCGAGCGAGGCTTGGAGGTCTGGGGGGGCCTGGGGGTCGAGCGACCTCCTCCTCCTCCTCCTCCTCCTCCCTCCTCCTCCTCCCTCCCTCCACCTCCTCCTCCTCCTCCTCCTCCTCCTCCTCCTCCCACTCCTCCTCGAGGCTTGGAGGCTTGGAGGTCTGGGAGCCTCTGACTCGGCGCGGGGCTCCGAGGCCCGAGGGGCTCCGGATCCGAGCGAGGCTTCCACACATTGGGGGAGGCCCCGGGCCAGCACGAGGCCTGCGAGCTCTTGGGAGGCTCTGGACCGGCGCGGAGAGTCGGGGCATGGGTGGGCGGATGGCCTCCAAGGACCGGCGCGAGGCGCAGACGCCCGGGGGGGGGGCCCCGGGACGGGTCGAGGCCTGGAGTTCGGTCGGGCCTGTCCCCCTACAGGGTGGACTTTCGACGAAAGGCAAACAATGCCCCAGACATAGTCCGAAAATAAGCCCAAAATAGTCTGAGGACAGTGTTTGGAGTATATGTTGTATTTTTGGTGATTTTTTAGTGTATTTTTTGCTTTTCCTCGAAAATCCCCCTGTATGGGGGACACGCCCCACATAAGCCTAGAGGTCCTGGGGGCTCTGGAGCGGAGCGAGGTTTGGCGGTCGGGAACGCTCTGGATCGGAGGCGCCCTCTTCCTGGTCATCCTCCTCGTGCTCCTCCCACTGCTCCTCCCCGTTTTCCCCAGTGTACTCCAGATTTCGTAATAAAAGGGAGGGGGTCTGGACCCTCCAAGACAAGCCATTTCAGACCCCCCCCGTGGGGGAACCCTCCAAAACATCGTCCCCAGACCCCCCAGGCCCTCTAAGATAGCCTGGAAGAGACCCCACCCCGAAATGAGACCCCCCTCCCTTTATTACGAAATCTGGAGTACCCTCTCGCCGCGATGCCCGCCGGGCGGACTGCCGAATGCAAGCTGCCCCCGCGCGGGGTGGCCACTGGAGCCGGTCAGTCACAGCCGCGCGTCAAAAAGCACATGAGCAATATTAGGGGGAAAACAAACCTACCTCGCTTTTGACCACCCTCGCTTCCAAGAGATACCAAATGATGCCAAATTGCAGCCTGTGCTGGTCAGGCCGCTTGACGAGGAGGCGCGTGGTATGGCTTGGTTTTGCCGGGAAGCGAAAGCGGGGTATGTAATTCACGCTCTGAAATATGGCGCACTTACCGCGCCAAGCGAAATGAACGCACTGCCTGCTTCCAGTCTCGAGCTCCCAGTCTCGAACTCAGACGGAGGCTCAGACGGCGGGGCGGGGTGCTGCCGCAGAAAACGCGCACTGAGAACACGCGATGTTAATACATGGACCCGGCTGAAACTTGAAAAGCGGGGTCGGCCCCTCTTCCGCTTGCCGGAGGGGGGCCTGAGGTCGAGGGAGGAAGGTAAACAAAAATTAGCTTAACGCATGGGGGTAGTCATCCCCGTTTTTTTTTGTGTGTGTGTGTGTGTGTGTGTGTGTGTTTGATAAAAAGAAAAAAAGCAATATTGAACAATTCCGTGAGCTGCCGCTGCAGAACAGCACTGCTGAGTTTCCTCCTGCGCGCGCGTGCCAGCACATCTGCACCCGACATTGGCTGCAGGCGCGGGCGCGGGCGCGGCGCCGCGAAGGCCGCGAAGTTCAAATCCTTGAATGTATAAGAAAATTGTTTATATATATATATATATATATATATATACAAAAAAAAAAAAAAAAAAAAAAAAAAAAAAAACGTGTCCTGCGAGCAGCCGCTGCCCTCAAAGACCTCGGCTGCTGCTGGGGCCGTCCTCGATAGCCGCTGCCGCGGGGGCGTCAGGGGGTCCAGCCCGTGCGCGCGGGCCGCTGCTGCCGATCGAGGGCCCCAGCGGGCCCGCGCCGAAGGCCACCCCTCGCGAAGGGCCACCCCTGCGCACCTCGCCCGGCATCGCCCCGCGGGGCCTCCCTCCTGCTCGGCCTCGCCCTGCTCGGGGCAGCGCTGCCGTGCTGCCTCGCGGCCCCCCGCGCCGAGCCCCCGGGCGGCCTCCGCGGCGCGCGCCGCCGACGTCGCTGCACCCGCGCGCGCGCGGAGGGCACGGCCGGGGAGCGCCAGCGGGAGGGCTCGAGCCCCCGCGCGGCCTCGGCCTCGCCCCTGGGGCCGCCGCGGGCGGGCCCCCCCCCCCCCGGCGGCGCCAGGGGCGCCCTGCCCCAGGCCGTGCCCGAGAAGGCGGCCCCCTGGCACGACGCCGCGGCCGCAGGGTTCACCCTCGAATCTCTTCTCGAGGAAAACGGCGGGCCTGGCGACGATGCCGGGCGCGGATGGCCGCTCGAAGGCAGGCCCGGCGCAGGGGCAGAGGGATGACGAAGAGGGCGAGGGCAGCCCGCCATCGGCTCTGGCCGTCGCCTCCCGAAATTTCAGGCGAGGGTCTGGGCAGCGTCTGCGCGGCCCCAGAACAGGCGCTCGAGCCCAAGTGGGTCGAGCGGGAGGGGAGCGGAGGAGGGGGGGAGGGGCAGCAGCGACGCGGGACTCATGATGGACGTGCGGCACGGGGCGGGGCGAGAGCGCAATTCTCTCTCGTCCTCACAGTGTGGCTTGTGTTGGCGCCGAATTTGGGACGGCTTGCGGGTGGCTTCGCCTGAAAAGTCCGCACGATTTGCCTGGCTTGGGGCGGAATTCGCCCGAGAGGGCTTCGCAATCTGCTTGACTGGGGGCAGGTTTCGCTTGCGGTCCTCGCAGCTAATTAGCCAGGTTTGGCATGGTCTGGGGGCGGTTTTGCTTGAGGGGTCCTCGCAATTTGCCCGGACACGAGGTAATCAAGGACCCAGCTTGGCACGATGTGGGGCACGTTTCGTGTGGGAGTTCTGTGCTATTCGTTCCTGGCCAAGCACCAACAGAAACGAGCCTTGCCCCAGGCAACAACCACAGTCATACGGGCAAGTGCCAGGCGAGAAAAATAATCGGCAGAGAGCCACCAGCGATACGATCGCCCATCTTCTGCCTGTCCAAGGTCTGTCTTCATGCAGTGCAGGGCGTGGCTTAATGGGAGGGTCACAAATGGGGGGGTCAGAAAAGGTCCCCTTTCGGGCCCCTCCAGAGCCCCAGGGGGCTCGTTTAGGTACCGTTTGGGTACCTTGTCGGACAACACTCGCCACCCCCCCATTTATGATCCCCCATTACGCAGCGCCCAATACAGTCGCTTGGCGGCGGGACCGGGGGAAGCGAGAGGGGGGGCAGACCTTCTCAGAAGGCAGCGGGGCTTCTCAGAAGCCCTCGGGCCCTTTAAGACTGAAGGGGCCCCAGGACACACAAATAAATACACACAAATAAAAATATCCACCATATTTTCCCATATCTTCTGGGTTTTTGTCATCCCCCCCCACTTCCCATATTTTCCCATATTTTCTAAGGAATCGACGATTAATTGTGTCTGTGTGTTTTTTTTCCCTCCTGAAAGACACTGGCTCTGTCGCCGGAGAACCCTCACAAAACTTCTCAGCAGGCCAGGGGCCTTCCGAGCCGTTAGTGGAGCTCTCTGAGGAGGCATGCGCAAGCCTCGGAAGCGTGTCGGAGGCGAAAATGCGAGAAGACAGGAAATCATTGACTCCCCATGGGTTTGAAATGCTTTTGGCCTCTCGAGGACTTCCCCGGAGCTCTTGGGGGACTCTTGGAAGCCCCTAGGAGCGACCTTGAGTGCCCCTGGGGGCTTCCAGAGCCGTCGGGGGGCCGGCTTGAACAGACTTGCGCCACTCTTGGGCTGCCTCGGGAGCGTCCTGGGCCGTCTTCAGGCCCTCCAGGAGATCTCTTGGGCGCCTGTGAGGGTGGTGCGGGGGGGATTGTCCGCCGATGGTGGCAGAGTGGGCGGAGCCCTGCTGGGGGGGGGGGGGGGGGGGCATTTGCTTGCTTGTATGTATAGGCGAGATGCAGCGCGAGAGAGAGAGAGAGAGAGAGAAAAGGAGAGAGACCGAGAGCGCGAGACACGGAGAGAGAGAGATAGAGAGAGGTGCGAGAAGCACACAGAGAGAGAGAGGGGGAGGGAGAGAGAAAGAGACTGCGAGAGAGGGCGGCGTCGCGCGCCTTGTAGAACGCCTCGAGCACCGTCTTGGCCTGCGCGAGCAACCCCGCCGCGGCCTGGCGGGGAACTTCTGACCCGGGTCAGTCCAGACCCGGGTCCGCCAGGCCTTGCAAAGTCCTGCAAGATCCTGCAAGGCCCTGCACCCAAGCCCAGCCCAATGCGAAGGCTCCTGCAAGATACTGCAGGATCCTGCACCCAAGCCTGGGTCAATGCGACCCTGGCCCTGCAGGATCCTGCAAGATTGGGCGCTCTGGCTGACCCCCGTTTGCATCGACCCCCGTCTCTTGAGCCCCGACGAGGTTCGCTTCGATGGCGTCGCCGGCACAGCTTCCGAGCATCCACTCCCAGGGAGCGTCCCCGCAAGACGCTCTGGGCCTTCGCCGCCTCGGCCACCGAACCTGCACTCCCCGAGAAAAAAACACGACGGGAGCCTGCGGTCAGGGACTCCGACTCTGCTCAGCGTGTCGCGGCGGTAACCCCGGCGACCCGCTCCTGCCATCGTTCGGACGTCCATTTCCCGTGCATTTTTTCGGTATCGTGCGTGTTTTTCTTCTGCTCGGTGGACCGGGATGGTCCTCGATGATTCTCGCCGAGAAAAAATACACACTTCCGAGCGATGCCAGGCGCTGTGCCCTGCAAGCGGACGGCGTGTGCAGTGGCCCCCGTCTCGGTGGCCCCGCCGCGGCGGCCTCGTCGTCCGCGTGGCTGCGGGCCCAGAGGGCGTGCTCCTCCTCGCGGAGGCGGTCCGCCGAGGCCACCTCCTCGCCGACGTGGGCCACCGCCTCGGCCTCGGGAGGCGGGCGCTCTCGCGGCGGCGGCGGCAGCGGCACGGGCGGACGACGCGGTGGCGGGGAAGCTTCGCAACGCTACAATGCCTACGACTTGGCGGTGACGGTGTGCGCGTGTGCGTGTGTGCGCGTGTCTTCGTGTGCGTGTGCGTGTGCGTGTGTGTGTGTGTGTCGGGCCATCAAGAGCGCACGTCCAGCAACGTCAGAGCAACTGACCGTGGCCTGTGCCAACGGGCCCACATGGGCCGCTTAGGGGCCTCTGGGCCTGACCAGAAACCGAAAGCAGGCAATCCCCAGATCACCGAAAACAAGGCGCCTCCGACCCCGCGGAGGCCAGGGCCGAGGACGAGAAGACACTCTCACCTCGACAGGAACTTACAGGGCTTCGCCCGCGTAAGGATTTAGGCCGTGGAGGAGCCTATCCCGACGGCGAGCCCTCTCGCGGAGGGCGGGGGAAGTGCGCTGACTTGATGCAGGCAGGGGCCCCGTGCACTCGACCAGCAAACCGCGCGCCTGCTGATTGCCCGAGAGACACCCGCATTTGCGACAAAAGGTGAAAGGCGGGGCGGAGACGATCTCGTGTCCCCGCTCGTGAGAGACCCCCGCCCCACCGCCCGTGCCCCCGCCTTCCTCCTCGGCGGCCGCGGCAGCGGCGGCGCGGCTGCGGGCTGCCTGGCCCCGCACCCGCGGGGCCCGCGGCGCAGCTGGGGCCGCCGTCAGTGGCGGGGGCGTCGCTGGCTCCGCCGTTGGCGGAGTGGGGCTGGTCGCCCGCGCTCGCATCGCTCGGTCCCCCGCCCTCCCAGCCGCCCCCTCGCACGTCGGCTCGCCCTCCCTGCCCTCTCCTTCCTCCTGGTCCTCCAGGGGGGCCTCCAGCAAACCTCCCGAAAGGGACTCAGGGGTGGAGGACAGGTGGGCAGAGGCAGCGGCCGCAGGTGCGCCCCTAGCAGCACTAAGGAGCCGGGCTGCAATCCGAGCCCGACGATCCTCGTCGGAAGGGCCATGCTCGGGGCGCTCGGAGGGGGTGGCCTCAACGGCCGAGGCCCTCGTGACTCCAGTTGGGGTCGAGGGCTCAGTCGGGGTGCGAGCGCGAGCGGAAAGATCCAGCCCGAAAAACGCATGGGCCGACTGCGTGCCTTCGAGCCTGCTGCGTGACCTGAGCGGAGCCGCCGAGGAGGAGGGGCCGTCACCTTGCCGTCTCGGCGAGCGGCTGCCACTCCTGCCAGGGTCAGGCACACCTCTCTCCAACGGGGTCGACGCGGCGGCGGCGGCAGCAGCGGCCAAGGCTAGGGCAACCGCGGGGGAGGGGCGAGGAGGGGCGGGGCTGACCCCCTCGGCCTGGGCACGGAGCCTGGCCAGGTGAGATGGCACACATGGGTGAGATTCTAGGCATCGCCTGGTCTCCGCCGTGCGTGCCACACGGTTGCAGGGAGCTCCGCAAACTCGTGTGCCACAAACGAAAGCGACCTGGGCGCCGTGACGGGCGGAGGAGGCCTCGGGTCGGCATCCGCGGGATCCCAAACCCCCGAACCAGCCGCACGAGCAGCCGCCCAGGCAACGAATTTAGCATTAAGACAGGCCTCCTCCATACGAATCTTGATGTGACGGACCAGGCTCTTAGCTGGGCTGGCTAAGTCCAGGGCAACACTAGCAAACAGGTCAGCCCAACTGTTCCCAAGCCAGTCCTGGAGGTCAAGGTTGAGCTCAATAGCCTGGGCCAGGGATTTATGCGAGGGAATCCATCCGAACGAGGGCGGCCTCCTGTCTTGGCGGGCAACAGTGGCCCGTAGCGCTCTCCAAAGTGCAGCGTGGCGAGCCGTCGCGGACGCGTCCCTAGGGCTCCACCGTTGCCCTTCCTCCACAAAACTTAAATGATCAGAAATCAAACACGACACCTGTGGGGAGAGGCAGGTGGCGACGAGTCCCGCATATCTTTCAGCCCTCGCCACTGTCTGCGCTCCTGGGAGAGAGCCGAAAATCGCCTTACAGGGCCAGCCGTCGTCTCGCAACTGTACAACGGCCCAGGAGCAACGAGCGATCTCTGGAGTATCCATGCCGAAACCGCCACCATCGATATACAGCCTACCGCCCCACTGAATTTCGGCCTCTCCCCAATGGTGCACGAAATCGGGACACAAGGGAGGCCTCTCGGAGGCAGGGGGCTGTAACGGGATAGCGTGCGCAAACTGCACAGTCTCATGCGGATCGTCCTGGGCCGACTCCCAAGCCAGGCGATCTAGACGCTCACGGGTCTTGAGAATCGCTTCCGACGGGGCCGTCTCGTGAAGGGCGGGGTCCAGGAGAGCGGGGCATTTGTACAGACGATGGCCGTTTGTCTCACGCTCAGCACCACATGCCAGGCACTTACCACAGTCAACCAAACGCTTCTCGTACTTTTTCTGCCGTGGCCACATCGCGTCAGTCCAGACACACTGCAACGAGCCGCGTTCGGAAGGGTCCCGAACTGCTTTCTCCACGCACCTCCTGATGCCGCGGTGCCAGAACTGCTCGCCATTGGGTGTCTCGATGTGGCTCTCGGCGCGCGCCAACAGCCAGCGCGTGACCCCCTGGACGACCTGGTCACGTACGTCTCTGGGCGCCATCTGGTTCAGGTCGAGGACGGTGCCAAGGTCGGACTCGAAGGTGGTCGCTGAGGCAAGCCGCCAGCCGATCCGATGCAAGGTGAGCCACAGCGCCCCGAGTGGGCCACGTACACGGCTCCAGCTAGGCTGAGCGCTCATCTGCCCGTTGACAAACTCCCAAGCGTCTCCGAGGGCTTGCATTCCCAGTCGACCTTCCCACAGCATGCTCGCGTACATGAAGACGATGTTAGTGGTCGCCGCATACAGTGGATCGTAGTGGGGCTGGTCCTGCATGAGCATGCCCATGCATATGCTCCCCGTCGGGCGCACTCCTGCCAGCAGCGCAGCGATCGAGCGGATCGGCTTGAGCACCGCGTCTGAGACCCCGCTGACCGAGGCCCCATGTGTGACGGACGGCGTGATCCCAGCGGCCTGGATCCGCGTGATACGGCTGGCCCCCACCGCTTTCTTGAGTATGAGAGTGCGTCGCGCCCGTCCTCGAAGCTGCTGTAGTCGTGCTGCCTCTTGTTGCCGTCGCACTTTGGGGCCTGCTAGCTCATGGCCAAGGTTCCGAATCCACGGCAAGCCCACGACCTGCCTGGCTCGCGCCGCCGAGCGGAAGGCCCTGCTGCCACCGCTGGAAGAGGCGACGTAGCCAAGCTTCTTGATCTGAATGGGCAGCTGGAGGCCCTGGAGCTCGAACTTGAGCTGATCGGTGCCCTCGCCCAGCTCGTTCGCGCAGTGCTTGGCATGCCCAGTCCACTGGAGGGAGACGTCATCAACCAACTGCCTAGGCTTGAGCGACGGGCACAGCGCGCTCATTCTCAGCATGGACCTGTGCATGAGTACAGCCAGTAGTGTCGTCGCCTGAGAGCATCCTGCCACGATGCCTTGGAAGGAGATGAAGAAATCGCTGTTGCTGCCGTGTGCTCGAACGACGCGTGGCTGCCGATAGAGCTGGATGAGAAGCCATACCAGCCTGGGCGGGAAGTTGACCTCCGTCGCCTCTCGAACCAAAACTTCGGGCGCCACCATCTCAAAGCATTTGAGAAGATCCACCATCAGCGTGATGACGTCCAGCTTCCGAGCGAGAGCGATCTCTGAAGTGATGTTGTGCGAGAAGGCCGAGGCTGACGAACTCCTCCCTGGTCCGAGCCCCCAGGCATGCTCCTCTCGGTGGGTGGCCTCCCACTGGGCAGCCAGCGGGCGGCGGGCACGGCTCCAGAGGCGCACGATTTTAGCAAGCCGATCAGTATCATGCCTCCTCCCGCCTTCGGGAGGCGGACCAGCACCGTGGCGAGGCGCTGCGGCGGCCAGCCAAGGTGGTGCTCGCAGGCGTGGAACAGGAGAGACAGGGCCAGCAGCGCTTGGTCCGAGAGAGCGTCGAGGTGCCTCGGCTGGAACCCTGTCTGGCCGACTGCTGTACCCAGCTTAAACGTGCGGATGGCCTGCCTGAGGTCCCATGTCGATAGGTGTGGCAGCTCAGGCCAGGACTGGGCCTCTGCAGGCAGCGGGACCTCGCCGAGCTTGTGGTACTCCCATATGGCCTTCCAGTCCTGGAGCTCGGTGTCTGCCAGGTCGCTTGGGTGGCCGCTCTTGTTCTCTCTGGGGATCTCCACCTCCTGCTTGGGCTTGGCGAAACGGTGAGCCAAACCTGCGCCCCCAACAAAGGCGTCCTTCGCCCAGTCAGTCCAGGCCTTGGTGCACTTGTTCTCCGCGTCCGCGGAGAGCTGCTAGGCCTTGGCGATGATGACCTGGGCTTGGACCTTCAGCGAGCTAGCCCTAAGCATCACGGCACCGGTTTGTAAGAGCTCTCGGGCGCCGCGATCAAGCTGCTCCAGTATGTGCGTTTGCTTGCCAACTCGTGCACAGAAGCCCTCGAACTCCAGCAGGGCGGTGGCCAGGCCTTTGACACGCTTGTAGTGCTGCACCCCTTCTAACACCATGCCTCTGGCAGCGCCAAGGGGTCGAGACGGGGGGGCTCTGCCCGCCCGAGCGCCTGAGCGTCGGGTCATCCACCCTCGGTGCTGCTCGAAGGCGCGAAGGTGCATGTCCACGGCCTCTGTCCAGTCCACCTCCGACTGGTCGCGTAGCCGCCGAAGGTGGGCACGATAACGGTCGCGGCTGCGAGCTCCAGCACGATAAGCCGCCTCGCACATCTCTCGAGCGCGTTGCCAACGGCGCGCATCGCGAGGCAGAGCCTCCTCCCAGCCTCCTCCGTCCCAGAGAGGGTCAACAGCGGGGTCCTGCAGCTGCTCCGCGGCGTAGGGCACGCACCACTCCACCCAGTCCTCCGTGACCTCCTGCTCCGTCTGCTTCTCGCTCCGAGGGTCGCCAATCCAGTGCCGCGTGTACCGTTGAAGCTCACGTCGAATGATCTCCTGCCTGCGCTGGGCCGCAACCTGATCGGGGTCCTCTCCA